AAAAAAAAAAAAAAAAGAAAGATTCCTTGATGAGCCTTTATTTCCTTTAATAAAAACATGAGAACTCTGAGTATATGTGTGAATCATTTCTTCCTTCTATCATTCTTAAAAGAGAAAGAGAAATCCCAGTGCAGTGCTTCCCAAATGGGAGCAGTACGTGTCCATCTGTCAGGCTATATTAAACCAGAAGAGACTTTTCATTTCAAAATAGTTTCTCCTATTGGTGCTTTCTCTTTGTGAAATATTTACAGGAAACATACATTTAAATGGGAATTAAAGCAGAAACAGGCTGGGCACAGTGGCTTACGCCTGTAATCCTAGCACTCTGGGAGTCCGAGGCGGGAGGATCCTTTGAGCTCAGGAGTTCGAGACCAGCCTGGGCAACAGCAAGAACCTGTCTTTGCAAAAAACAGAAAAATTAGCCTGACCTCCTGGTGCACACCTGTAATCCCAGCTACTTGGGAGGCCAAGGCAGGAGGATCGCTTTGAGCCCAGGAGTTTGAGGTTGCCGTGAGCTAGGCTGACGCCACAGCACTCTAGCCTGGGCAACAGAGCGAGACTCTCTCAAAAAAAAAAAAAAAGTAGAAACATACAGCAATACAAGCAAAACTTTCTTTTGCATAAGACAGTCTACATTACCCTTTCCATAAAAAAAGACTGAAAATCTGGGGTTGAAGTAAAACACCCATGCCAGCCGGAGCTAGAAATGTAGCTTTGTGTCAGCAGGGGACAAAGCTTGAGTCGTGTTTGCTTGTGGCTTGCTAAATATATACCAGAGCTTTGGTTCCTATTTATGAAGTTCCTAGTTTCATAAAATGGACAGACCAACGAACAGTTTTCCTATGTTTATTTTTCCAGAGTAGTCTAGCATATGTTTCTCAAGAATGGTCTGCAAATCCCTTGCATGAGAATCACCCAAGAAGTTTGTCCAAATAAAGAGTCCAGGGATACATACCAGATTTACGGACTCAAAATCTCTGGTAATGGGGGGCCCAGGAATCTGTATGTTAAAGATCAAACCAGGTGATTCCCCTGCACAACAAAGTTTACAGGAATCGACCCCGTGATATTGGCGTTTTAAGTGCACCATGCCTCAGTTCCCCCCTTACGCAACAGAAAACAAGAGTTACTCGATATTTTGCAAGTTAGTACTCGTATTACTGGTTGCCAGGATGCAGAGACATGGCCGCTGAGAGGTGACTGGGGGCTTCCTTTAAGTCCCTTCATTCCTGGTGAATTCTAAATTCAGTTTGGGAAGATTGAGGAAGGGATTTCGGGAACTCAACAGTCTTCAGATCCTAGAGATTACGCGTAACTCCTTAACATCAGGTTTCAGGACGCATGCGGTTAATACTGTCTCCTGCCAGCCGCCGTAGTCCGTCTGGTGATGCCTGCGCCGTATTCTCTGGCGGCTGTCCTCCCATTGTCAAGATGGCGCCCCCCAGGAGCTTCGCTTTGTGGAGCTACTGCGGCCGTGGATGGTCGCGGGCGATGCGGAGCTGCCAGCTCCCTGGGCTTCGTAGCTCCTGGCCCCGGGGTCCACTGGGTGTGCGGCTCTTGTCCCAAGAGAAACCGACCACGGAAACGCACTTCGGGTTTGAGACTGTGTCGGAGGAGGAGAAGGGGGGCAAAGGTGAAAAGGGCGAGAGGGCGGACGGAGGGATCTGATTGTCCGCGATCTAGTTTCTTCTGCCCAATTGAGAATTGATTTAACATCCGGTTAGCTCCGATGCTGTTGTCTGTGCAGTCGTGATATCCAAGGAGTCCCACCTGCCTGACCCAGAAGAGCTTACACGGCCCCTCTTTTTAAGCAGAGTAATTACCCCGCCAATTGAGCGTGTATGATGTGCCAGGCGCCGTACAGACGTTATTTCCAATTCTGACTTTAACTTTCCAGTGGTCTGTATTGTTATCCCCATATCACACCTGAGGAAATTGAGACTTAAAGGTTAAGCAAGAACTTGCCCAATTTAACATAGCTATTACGTGGCGGAACAGGTATTCCATCCCAGTTTAGCCTGACTCCAAAGCCCATGTTCTTAATCTCTTGCTAAAGAGAGAGGTTATTTTTTATAGAAAGAAAAAAGGAACTGTCTTCTCTGTGCCTCAACTTCCAAATTTGCCAAATAGGAATACTAGTAACCCTTCTTCTGGAGTTCTTGTGAGGATTAGATTACTTTATGCATGAAAGCACTTTGAACAGTGCCTGGCACTTAGTAATTTCTCAATAAATCATAGATATTGTTGAGCAGTTTCTTTTTGTCAGCACTGTGCCACAGACATGGGAAAGGAAAAGGACTGTTTTTAATTCCCTCTGTACCATTTATAATGAGAAAGGTATTATGCCCATTTTACAGATGGATAAGGTGAGGCTCTGAGAGGTTCCTTTACTGGGTTCACCCACGAAATAAGAGAAAGAACCCATGGTGAAATTTCCCATCCCTTTAGAGACTACCTTGGGTATTACCTCCCACTTCAACATCGCTAAATACATAGCTCTACTATAACTCTTTGAACATTGAATTCAAATTACTATTTATTTCACAGGACTGTGAATGTCCAGAAAGCTGGGAGAGTGGCTCATTCATTTCTGTTTCCTCAGTGCCTGATGCACATTAGGAGTTTGATAACTGCTTATGGAGTGAAATAAGTGGAGCCAAGTACAATAAAAGCAAGCATTTATCAAGGGTCTGAAACTTTTTAAAATACTTCACATTAATTTTTATAAACACAACCCTGTGAGGGTAGGAACTATTACCCTGGTTTTATAAATGAAGAAACTGTGAAACAAAGATATTAAGTCACTTGCCCAAGATTCTCCTAATAAGTGGCAGAGCTAAGATTTAAATTCAGGTGGGTTGCTGCCAAAGCATGTACTCTTACCCAGTATTTAATAACAATAATAATGCCTAACTTCTGCATTGTGCTTTACAATGTGTAATCAACATTTCACACAATGACAAGCAGGGGAGGAGTTACCAACTGAGCTAAATGTGGATTCCAGATTGGGAACTGAGATTGCGGTACAGGCAGTCCTTGCTTTGCACAGTAATGCAAAACTGTAAAAATGACCATGAAAGCTGAAATCATGCACAATGATCTTAATAATCAATAGAAAAAAATTACAGTTGTTCCATGACCTTTAAAAGTAATTGACAGTCAAAAATTCTTTGTCTGGCCGGGCACGGTGGCTCACGCCTATAATCCTAGCACTCTGGGAGGCCGAGGTGGGTGGATTGTTTGAGCTCAAGAGTTCAAGACCAGCCTGA